AAAAAAAAAAAAAAAATTAGGAAATGTTAGGCATGTACTTACTAGTTAAAAAAAAAAAAATAGGGCACAGAAGAGCCTGGCTAGACTTTGATCAAGAAGAGAATCTTTATCAGATATACTGATTTATGAAAAAATATAGACCAATCTGTACAAAAAAATACACTAGGTAAAAGAAGTCTTACAGAAAAGGTATATTTAAATGAACTCCTGGGACAGGTAAGACTAAGACAACTAAACAAATCTAGGGTTAAGGATTCAGCACAGTATAGATGAGGAATGACTGAAAAGTTATGAGAGGTTTCTGGGGTGATGGTAATGGTCTCTAAGAATTCAGGCTGTGCAAGTGTATTTAACTGTCACAACTTAGAATGGTATAAGATTTGTGTATTTCATTGTATATTAATAACAATGAAAGAACAGTAAATGGTGGGGGGGGGGATATAGCTCAGTGGTAGAGCACTTGCCTGGCATACATGAGGCCATAGGTTCAATCTCCAGTGGAGCGGGGGCGGGAAGGGGGACATCAGTAAACATTGAACTCTGGTCAAGGATATGTATACTGAATGTTTAGAGAAACAATATTGAGAGCTGCAGTAAATACATCAGATATCAAACTGAAGTAATGAATGCTTAATAGATGTTCAGCAGCTAGTGTGGGTATACAAGTGTTCACAACTCCTTCAGCCTGTATGTTTGCAAATTTTTATGATATAATGTTGGGAAAGAAGAAAGTAGTGTGAGTTTTCGCTTAGGAAACATTCCTAATCTTTCCTAACATAAGTAGGGAGGCATGTGCAAGTGCAGATAGGAAAGCAGGTAGAAACAAGTGACTTGTCTGGAGATGCCATGTAATAACTAGGGGAATCCATGCTGAGGCCTTCTAATTCCTACTGCAGTGCTCTTGCCATAATATGTCATTTTCCCTTTTTTCCCATTTTTCAAGTCATTTTCCCTTTTTTTTTTTTTCTGGGTACTGGAGATTGAACCCAGGACCTTCAAACTAAGCTACATCCCCAGCCCTTTTACTTTTTAAAATTTTTATTTTGAGACAAGGTCTTGCTAAGTTGCTAAATTGCCAAGGCTGGGTTCAAACTTGGCAACTCCTGCCTCAGCCTCCCAGAGTGCTGGGATCACAGGTTTGCAACATGTCCAGCCACTTCACTTTTTGTTTGAGTTTTACAACAGTATCATTGAGCAAACAGGGATTATTACACCTATAATCCCAGCTACTTGGGAGTCTGAGGCAGGTGGACTAATTCAAGTCCAGTCTGGGCAACTTAGCAAGACCCTGTCTCAAAAATAAAAAATAGTAAGAGTTGGGAATGTGGCTCTGTGCCAGGCACTGGGTTCAAATGCCAGTACCTCAAAAAAAGAAAAAAAAAAAACCATAGGCGTTGAGGTGTATTACCACCCAGCTGGCCAGGGCTAGGAACAGGCTGAGAAGCCAGGTAGGTGTTCTGTTTCCTGCTTCATCACATCATTGCCTGCAGGTTCCAGTTTGCCCAAGGCTTTTGTGTGGGATGAGGGTTGTGGTTCTGAGGAGCCTCTGCCCTGTATTTTCTCCTGGGTTGTGTTTCCACTCAATCTTCTCTGGTGGATTTTCTGGCTGACCAGCCCAGTTTCTGTTTCAGTGTCCCGCTGCCAACCGCCCCTGGTACCTCGTGCCTTCCATGCTTCAGCCGTGCGACTAAGGTCTTCAGAGGAGCAGAAGCAGCAACCTCCCCCCTCTTTTTCTGAGCAGCTTTCTGAGACACAGGGGACAGAAAAACCCGATGCAGAATCTTCTCGCCCACCCCCCAGGTAGGCACAGGACCCCAGTCCATCTGTTCATGGCCAGTTTGCCTGCTTGGATAACTGTGTCTTCTCCACTTGCTCTCTCCTTTCAGTTGCCTTACTCGCGTTCCATCATTTCCAAGGCTTCCTTGAAAAGAACCTCCTGTTTTCATAAAAAATGGTTCCTAAACATTTTTATACATCTAAACAATACTGAGAAGTTCACAAAAATAAAGCAAAAATTACCTGAAATTCTGCACAGAGATAACTGTGCTTAAATGTTTCTCTAATCATATTTCACATCTAAGTGTATATATAATAAATGATTAATTAAACTCTACTGATGTCCCAGAGCCTGTTGTTTTACTCAACAGTAATATATATATATGTTTTTTGATACGGGGTAATTGAATTTGGGACCTTGCACTTGTGAGGCAGGCGGCAGAACCACTGAGCTCAATCCTCAGCCCTCAACAGTAATATTTTTAATGTCTTTTCATAATTTACATTATTTTAGTGGTTATACAACATTGCACCAATGAATGGGCCAAAATTTATTGAATCTGTATTACTGGTGAAAATTTAGATTTCCTTCATGGTGTGAAGGAGAGAATAATAAAATGTGTGATGTTCATTAGAAGTGGGAGTACTGCCGGGCACGCCTGTAAACCCAGCACTTGGGAGACTGAGGCAGAAGGATTGCCACAAATTTGAGGCCAGCCTGGCCTATGCAGTGAGTTCAAGACCAGCCTGGACTACATAGTGAGACCCTGTCTCAAAACACTTAAAAGAGAAAAAAAAAGTGGGAGCACTGAATTAAAAGATAGCATATTTGGGCTGGGAGCCTGGCTTGGTGATAGAACGCTTGCCCAGCATGCACAAGGCCCGGGGTTTGATTCCTAGCAAGGAGAAAGGGGGAGGAGGGAAAGAGGGGCAAGTGAAAGATAAGCACATTTAATGTTTTGTTACATATATGGGGCCAAATTGCCTTCCCAAAAGGTAATAATTTACATTTCTATTAGATTTGTTTTTTTCTTAATCCTGCCACTGGAAATTAACCATTCTTCAATGTCAAATGAGCTTATTCATCATCTTTATCTGGTTTCCTAATTAAAGTACTTTTCATTTCAATTCAACAAACATCTTTTTTTTTTTTTTTTTTTTTGGTATCTGGGATTGACCTTGGGCTTGCAAGGCAGGTGCCAGAACCACTCAGCTAAATCCCTGGCCCTCAACAAATATGTTTTGAGAATCTACTGTGTACCTGGCCCTGTGAATAAAACCATCATCCCCCCTCATGAGGAGAAGGTGGAGTTACAGCCTGGTGCAGATTACAGATAAAGGCAGATAAAGAAGTCCTGGAGTGCAGTGTGCTAAAGGCTGTAAATGGGGAAACCCAGGGCCATGGAACAGAGCGTTGGCTTCATGTGACAGTATGGATCGGACTACTGGGTCCCTTCTCCCACTGATCAGGTGGGAGGATGAGGATGCCAGGATTTTCACTCCATTGGCATGAAAACATCCAGACTGACACAGAAGTTAATGTCCTTTCCTCATGTGCTCAGAGGAGACCCAGAGCCTCATGTTTCACCCAGTTTGCCTGCCAGGCAGTAGACAGTGAGATGAAGTGTGGGGGCCTCTGTCTCTGTGTCCCAGGTACACAGACCAGAGCGGGGAGGAGGAGGAGGACAGTGAGAGCGAGGACCAGCTGCAGCATCGCATCCTGACAGCAGCCCTGGAGTTTGTGCCTGCCCATGGCTGGACAGCAGAGGCGATTGCCCAGGGAGCCCAGGTGTGTATGGGTGAGGATGGGGCAGCCTGACCAGTGTCAGCAAGAAGTCAGACTGTGCAGCAAAGCACCTCCTGCCTTCCAGCCTGCTTGAAGTGCTCCCAACCATAGGATTGTCTGGTTTCATTTGGTTGTTTAGTTTATTTTGGTGGTGGTGGGGCAATAGGGTGGAAATGGGATTATTTTTTAATTATAAAAGGACTTGGTTCTTGGGAACTATGTTTTTTGTGGTCATTCTTGATTCTTTTTTTTTTTTTTTGAGACAGAGTCTGACTATGTACTCCAGGCTGGCCTTGAACTCATTATGTAGCCCAGACTGGCCTCACACTTGAGGCAATCCTCCTGCCTCAGCCTCTCGAGTGCTGGGATACAGGTGTGCACCACCTGCATGCCTGGTGGGAACTGTTCTAAGACGGCCTGTTAGGCAAGAAATAGCTGTGATCAAAATTACCACATTTTGGCCAGGAGCATTGGCACATGCCTGTAATCTCAGCACTTAGGAGGCTGGGGCATGTGGAGCCCTATGAGTTCAAGGCCAGAATAGGCTATATAGTGAGTTCAAGGCCAGCCTGAACTACATAGTGAGACCCTGTCTCAAAAAAAAAAAAAAAAAAGTACATCATAGAATTAATGAGATAGGATATTTGAAAACCCCCCACACATCAAATCTCTCAGTAATTCTGACAGCCTTTACTCTTGCATTGTAACAGACTGCTATGTAGATGAAGCAGTGGGCTCATGTTTAGGCCACATGTACAGAGTCATCTAGATACCATCTGAGAACACTGAGGGAAGTGGAGTCATCTCATCCCAAGCTTGCTACAGGGCATGTTGGACAATAGGCAGATTTGCTGCTTTCTTATTTCTTTGTCTCACTCCAAAGGTCATGGATGGTAACTGAAGTCATACTAGGGGAATATGTAAATGTTGACTCTACTGTATGAAAACTGAAATAGTACAAAGAGATATAGAAAGGAATGTAAAAATAAATCATCTGTGATTACACCGGAGATCCTACTATCAACATTTCAAGCTTATTCTTTCAATCAAAAAAAATTCTTTGAATATTTATTGACCAAGTAATATGCATTGGGCACTTGTGCTAGGTACTAAAGACATAACAGTGGTCACAACAGCTACAATTCCTGACCTTTGTGGCACTTTCAAGATGAGCAACATTAATCAGATATGTACTATATGTACTTCTAAAATGTGGCATGTGCTAACAAGAAAAGGTGCCGTCAGGACATGCAATAAAGCGACCTGACCTGGAAAGGCTGAGAATGGAGGAATGAGTTGTCTTTATCTAGCTTGGGCAGGGACCCAGGGATGGACCAATCCAGATAGAGAAGCGCATTGTGTTAGGAGAACTAAAGGAAACCTTTAAACAGTGAAGGAAGAGAGACTTGAGATGAGTAAGACTGGAGAAAAGGTCCATGGAGGCCAGATCTAGCAAAGGATGAAAGGTCAGGATGTAGGCTTTTGTTCTAAGACTAACTGAAGGTACAGTATTGAGTTTTCATTTCACAGCATTGCTGAGTGAGTGGGAATGGATGGAGGTAGAATCTTCGGGGGCTGCTGCAGTCATCCAGGAGAGATGAGGTTGTCTGGCTTAGAGTGATAGCAGTGCAGTAGAGATGGGGGTGAGTTTGGTGGAACACTGGACATGGGAGGGAGTGATAAGATGGCACCAGAGTTGCCAGTTTACATGTGTGGGTTCATGGTGGTGTTGTTTTCCAAGAGTAGGCCCAGTGGAAGAGGGCCAGGTCTGGGGACACATGATGGGTACAGTCTTTTTTTTTT